AAAAATTGAACATAACTCCTTTTCAATAGATACAAAATCTAATAGTAAACTACTCAAAAAGACAGATAATTTATATTGCTTCTCACAACAAAATAAGCAATAAAATGAAGAATTATGAGAATCATACTACATCAAGGAATTAAAATAAATGAGAAACTATAAACTCATAACAGTGCTAAATAAAGTCAGAAAAAATAGGAGATATTGATTTCAGACCTCTACAATTAAATAGGAATCCTGGTGTGGCTTTGTAGGATAAGTACTCGATCATAAGGTCAGTTTGAACCACAAGGTCCATGGTTCAAACCCACCAGCCACTCCTCAGAAACCCTATACCGGGCACTATGAGTCAGAACTGACTCGATGCACTTAACAACCACCACCACCACCACAACAACAACAAAGAAATAAATCTTTATAAACATAGGGATAAATACCTTAGTAGAAAATGAGCAAACAGAATGTGTTGTGGTTGTAAAGGGTTGTCAAGTGGGTTTTGATTCCTAGAAAACCATGTAAAGGGTTTCTGAGGGGTGGATGGTGGGTTTGAACCACCCATTTTGAGGTTAGCAGTTCAGAGTTTATCTTACAGTGCCACATCAGGACTCAAGAAAGTATAATATGATCTATAAAATAAGTACCCAACTAGAGTGCATTACAGACAGACGAGTATGCATAATAGAAACAGGCTAAAGGTCCTGTCCAGATAGGGAGAAATACTTGGGCCATCCCATGCATTTAGGGTGCTGACTGAGATCTTAGCTAAGCAGATCGAATAGAACTTTCTCCGCATGTTCAATTCCTCAAATCAACTTCTCATGGTATTTATTCCAAGAGTACAGTTCATTGTGTTGTGAACTTTGCTTTTAGAAGCTCAGATCTGATCCATCATTTGCATCCTGGAGGAGGAAGTGGAAAGCATGTGAACATGTCTGGGTTTGGGACAGTCATGTGACTCCCCAAATTGGTATGCCCAACTTCAGAGAGGTTCTCTTGCGTGGGCTAAAATTCCTTTTGCGTTTTTCCCCACGTCTTTTATGAAGTCAGTTAAGGATAAATTAACAATAATATTGCAAGAACAGATACAGCCCTAAGATTGACATAATTCCATGTTTCTGACTTTACAGCTGATTTCATTTTGTCGGAGTAGAAGAGAGAGAGATTTCATGATGACATTGCATCAATTATAACCCTTGTAAAAGTTGTCAGAAGCCAGGGCTGAGCAATTTTACTTGACTTGTTGCTGTTAAGTGCCAACCCTGTATGAGGGTTTCTGAGGAGAGGCTGGTGGGTTTGAACCACCGACCTTGTGTTTAGCTGATCCTACAGTGTTAAACCAAGATGACATAATCCAACCAAACATTTCTCAACATAGTCTATGTGTATAAAAATCAATGATCTTAAGTAACATTAGAAATGACACATTCCCAAATGAACCCTTCAGGGGAAAACTCTTAAAATACGGAACCACATCCTAAGTGCATAGCTATTACGGGCTCGTTTGATATTCATTTTAATTGCAGTGACTATAATGAATTTACTTTGCATTCAAACAGATGTCACTAGCACTACTACAGAAGTTCCTATATAATTCAGTCTTAGTTAAGCCCGAGTAGATGGATATTTAAAATGGTGCATTACCATGGAGGAGGAAGGGGGGGGGGAGGGATGAAACCAATTACAGCAAACATTAGCTCCTTAAAACTGCAAATTAAAGATTTTTATTAAATTGTGTTCTTTCTTATTTTGACATCTACAGAATACAATACTAGAGGGAAACTTGCCGTACCAGCCGTTCCTGTTCCCTGTATGAGCTGTTCCATGTTAGTTACCCTGGCAAATAGAAATTGGGGCTGAGAAAAATGGCTCAGAAAAGTAGACTGACATTCATTTTACAGTATTTAGGGACTGACCTCTCCAAGGATTAAAAACACAGTCATGCCACTTGACTTGACTTGGAGAACCAGGTAATTAATTATCTGCCACTTTCTTCCAATGGGCCATAAATGCACGCAGATTCTCATTGTCTCCCACAGGAAGGACTGACAACTTGAATTTCAACAAGAGAGTCTGATGTCAACAATGAAATTGGGGTTTGTCCAGGTGTGGCTCACAGAAGTCTGTAGGGATGTTGTTTAAAAACAAGTCAGTGGGTCCACAGGGATCAGCCTCCAGAAGGCCCTGACATACAGTGCTGAACACATCCACCTGAAGTCTCCAGGAGGGACTCTTTGATGCATATTGTTTTAGAGTTCTGGTGTGACATTCTAGAATAAGCACTGGACTGCTAGCCACAAGGTCGGTGGTTCAAACTTATCAGCCGTTCCTTGGAAACTCTATCAGGGTCACTATAAGTAAGAGCTAACTCCACGAACCATAACTTAGTTTTCATTTCATTCACATCAGCACGCAGGCCCAAAGCACTAGCCCGTGTAAATGAAAGACCCGATACGTTCAGGTGCCCAAGAAGGCAGGGGGCATAGGATAAAATCATTTTCAAAGCACAAACTGTCAAGTCCAATAACCACTTCTGAGGGCCTGGAGGCCTGGGACATAGGATTTCATCTTTATCGTGAGGCCTTAGCTTTCAGCTTAGAGGCGCCTCACCTGAATGGGTGTCTGCAGGTGGAAAGAATATGGGAAAATGTAGCTAACACACGAGTATTGTCTTAAAGTACTTTTTCCTCTGGTCATTGACTGTAGGAGGCTCCTTTGAGGCTGTGGGGAGGAGGAAAGGGCTGAATATGGGGCTCCCCATCCACAGCTGAAAATGGGGTCTCCTCCCTCCCACCTGTAGGCTGACACACTTGGAAGACATTTTATGTTGCTAAATACCCAAAGGTAAATTCTGAAGGAGATCATACAAAGGGGCCCAGGGTCTCCCAGGCAGCACTGTGCTATGGGCCCGGCCTCACTGGTGGCTGCATCTGTGAAAAGGAGGCCAGTCAGGGACCTTTGCTGGGAAGACCCAGACAGGGAACCCTGACCTCATGGTCCTTGGTTGAATTGGCCTGGTGCTGGGAACAGGATCAAGCTCAGGTGAATGTAGAATACCACTGGTACACAGAGAGGGTCCCCATTTCCTACAGCTGCGGCTCCCAGACAGCAAATCAGCATCACCTGGGGCCTCCAAACTCTGGAACACACTCAGCCGTGCGGGTCCACAAACCCTTGGGTGTGGCTACCGCAAGGCGCTCTGACAACCCCAGGCCAACCAGATGGACAGCATCTGAGGAGCAGGCACCTGCTCCCAGGCAGAGGTCCAGCTCTGTGTTCCTGTCCTCTCACTCTGTCCCCCAGTCCCCAACCTTTACCTTCACTGATCTCCTAGACCTCTGCTGACCTTCCTTCCTGACCTGGGATGGCGGCGCCCCATCTCTGCACAGGCCTGAGTTCCTGGGGCCTCCTGTCTTCTAGCACCCATGAAGGACCCGCATCTCAGGCGTGTGGCCCAGGGTGTAACAGCTCTGCAGCCACACGCTGCCATATGGACTCAGCCAGCTGAGTCTGGCCATCGGACGGCCCACTGGGCTCAGCACACACAGCACCACTGCCAAAGTCAAGGCGAACCACCACGGTCCGCATCGTCTCCGCTCTGCAGGAATCCTTCAATGCCACCCTGCATGACCTCACACACCCACTCACCAAAGGCAGCCTGACCCACTTCATTGGAAATGGATGTCTGGGCGCTCAGTGTGTGCTCTGGGTCCCTGCACCCGACTCAAACCACAAGCCTGGCTCTGCAGGACTGTGTGGACGCAACACAGTGGACGGGCTTTGCCTGAAGAAAAGGTATTTCCAGTAGACTGGAAATTCTATCCTCTACAACCCTCACACACACACACAGTCATATGTACATAGATTCCCACACATGTTTATACAAACACACACTCACACACGCAGACTCTCCGCACACAAATGTACACACTCACATGTTCCTCCCCATATATACACATATATACACTTACATTCCTTCCCGCACACACACACATAGACACACCATACACACAGACTCTCCGCACACAAATGTACACATGCACACGTTCCTACCCCCCACACATATACACACTCACATAGAAATCCAATGTGCATATTCTCACAGATTCACCCGCACACAAACATGCACATTCCTCCAACATATTTAACCACATATACACACTTGTATGTACACAGACCCACCCATACAAATGCACACCCACACACTCATACACACTCACACACATACACACCCACTCACTGACACTTCTGCACACACTCAGTAACTCTCATATACACACACTCATATACATAATCAACTACCACACACACTCAAATATGTGCACACTTACACATACATGCATGCGAGTACACACTTATAAACCCCTACTCGTGTATGCTTACACACATTCCCACAAAGTCTTTCACATATGAGAAGGCTTCAAAAAGTTCTTGTGATTTTCTGGGTCCATTTTGAAGCCCCCTTGTCTGCACACACTCACACATAAACACAAGTGTGCACCCTAAAGTATTCCTGAAAGATACTATCATGAATCACCTTCAGGTCCAACTTCGTCAGAGCAAGGCACTCTTCAAAGACTTGACAGAGTCCCAGAATGCCAGCGCTCTTCCTGCACGTGACAGACGAGCAGAAACCTGGCCACACAGCTGCACAACTCAGAGAATGATGGTCCCAGGGAAAGCTGACAGTAACTTGTGCTCAAAGTGAGTGCTGATAATGAAGCATCAATCACACCCAACACACACACACACACACACACACACACACACACGTGCGCGAGAATCTGCAAGAACACCCCTGTACTCCAACTATGACGACGAAAGCGCACACCTGCCCAGCTTCCTCCACTAGAAACAAGCCGATGATTGTTTTCCTTATTTCCAACCACCTGCATACTGGGAACCGGACTCACATAATAAGCCACGTGTTTGCACCTGTTGGAATGTTTAGGCAACTCCAAGCCCCAGCTGAGGTTGTAATTACAAGGCACGTCGTCGCCTACCTGGCGTGTTGAGCAGCCGCGACATCTTGCAGAAGTAGGAGACGTACTGCTCACAGTACTCGGCACTGCTGGTGATAGCGCCGATCTGGTCCAGTGAGGCACTGTACACAAGCTGGGTCACCGAGGACCTCTCTGGCGTGTAGCCGACCACTGTCGTCTGCATCTGCAGGTCGTGTGACATGATGGTCCACACTTTGTCCTCTGGGGAGAGAGCAAGGGCAGCAGGCGGTTGGTACGCAAATGCCAGGAAGTAATTGAGTTGCACGTTACCTGGGGTTCACCCAAACTGCTGAGGAACGATTCTGCCAGCTGCCCCTGGCTTTTCCTCTGCTCTGATTTTGTTTTTATTGGCAAAATAGGAAAGCCGTCTTTTCCTATAAACAGTTCCCAGATACGGTCTGAGAATAATGGATGGATAGCTGTGTATCTGCCTGATGCTCCGTGGGTCTTGTTCTTGGACCTATGGCTCCTTCCTGGTTCATATGCCCACCCCCAAGCTGATAAATGATAAACATCTGCTCTTTCCCACAGAATATGCGCTCTCAGAAGCCACATGTCCTTCAACCTGCCATGAGCTCTTGTGTTGTGTTCTGTTACCAGGATGCTCGACATGTGCAGGACAATGCAGATGAGGAATGTGGACTATGTGGGACCCTGGAAACCGCCGTGTGAGGAGAGCAGGGGCAGATGACACCCCAAAAATCCAACCAGCTGCTGTGGAGTCGATCCCCAGTCCCGGCAGCCCCCAGTGTGCTGAGAAGGCTGCTGGACGGGGTTTTCAAAGGAGCTCTGGTAGCATAGTGGTTACGAGTCGGGCTGCTAACTCCAAGGTCGCCAGTTTGAAACTACCAGCTGTTCTGTGGAAGAAAGATGAGGCTTTCTGCTCCTGTAAAGATTTATAGCCTTGGAAACCCTGTACAGGGTGTCTATGAGTCAGAACCGACTCCACGGCACATAACAATAACAACAACAACCCTTTACGGGTCTTCGGAGGCATCTGTGGATGGGTTTGAACCACAAACCTTTCAGTTTACAGCTGTCCTGGATTGAATTGTGTTCCCCCTCAACATGTGTCCTCTCTCTGAGAGGCTGGGCAGTTCTGTAACCCTGCAGTCATCACTCATGATGTGAGCTGATGGGACCAGCCCATGCGTTCTAAGGGGCCTGTGGTGGAGAGCAATGCCCTGACTCAGGCCAGAGCCATGGTCTGCTCCAAGGGGAGGGAGATGTGAGCAGAGAGAGAGGGACCCAGTACCACTAAGAAAGGAGAGGCAGGACCAGAGAAAGCCCTTGGGAAACAAGGGCCCACATGCTGGGTCGATCCCATCACAGCCAAGACTGAAGCCAAGACACAGCGAGATCTCCAAGGAAAGCTGGATCTACAGATGCCAAGAGGACATCTGTACAAAGGCCTCATCCCAGAACCAAGAGAAAGGGAAAGCCTTCCTGAATGTGGGCTTCTAGCCTCCTAAATGGTGAGTCCTGGCGTGGTGCTGTAGGCTAAGCACTGGGCCACAGGGGCGGTTTGAACCACAAGGTCAGCAGTTCAGACTCACCAGCCGCTTCTTGGAAACCCTATACAGGGTTGCTATGAGTCAGAACTGACCCGATGGTGTTTCCCAGCCTGTGAGAGAACACATTTCTGAGTGTTAACACCACCCACTAGGATGATTTCTGTCACAACAGCATGAGACCCGGGACAGAACAGATTTCTCAGCCCTTTGCACCACCAGGGGCTTCTGACACAAGATTAAACAAAGCAAAACAAAACCCCACTATCATCCAGTGAGTTCTGACTCATAGTGAGCATACAGAGGGTTTTCAGCGTTGTGAATCTTTCTAGGAGCAGCCACAGCTTTCTCCTACATAGCTGTGGCGGGCTCTCAAGTGCCAACCTTGTGGTTGGCAGCCAAATGCTTAACCCACAGCTTCACTGGGGGTCCTTTCAGATCTTTGTGTTAAATACACTCTATTTGAATTAGGATCGTCCCATCGAACTCACAATCTCACTGTTTTAAATACATACCTATGTCCTAGAATGTCCACTGAATAAGGCCCAAAGCAAGAACAACCCTGGTCCCTGTCGTAGACCTCCTATACCATTCTTCACAAAGATTAAACATAGATTTCTGGAGAAAGAGGACATACAAGGTGAGCTCTGACCATATTATCTCCCCAGAAAGTGATCAGGTATCAGAGGAGGACAAGAGGACCAGAGCAGGTCCACACCCAGGGCCTATGGAACAGCCTCCCATTGGCCAAAAAAGGGTCAACTTGGACATGAGTGGGAATGCCTTGTCATGCATGGATTCATTCACATCAAGAATACAGAAACCTATGAACTTATTAAGGAGCCCTGGTAGCGTAGTGGGGTGCACATTGGGCTGCTAACCGCAAGGTCAGCAGTTCAAATCTACCATCTGTTCCGCAGGAGGAAGATGAGACACTCTACTCTCTTAAAGATTTACAGCCTGGGAAACCCTACACAGGGTCACTATGAGTGGGAACTGACTTGAGGGCACATCACCATCACCACCATCACCACGAGCCTTCGACAGAAGAACTGTTTACCCTTGGAATACTGTGGGTCACTGCTATGGTTGAATTGTGACCCCATCTCAACAGATGTCGAAGTTGCAACTATGTCCCTCTGTGAATGTGACCTGGTTTGGAATTTGGGTTCTAAAGATACAATTAGTAGAAATGAAGTCATACTGGAGTCGGGTGGGCCCTAATTCAATGTTTGGTATCTGTCTGTTTCTCTAAGAGGGGGGTTGGGAAGACAGCCATGTGAGGACAGATGCAGAAGCTGGAACGCCAGCAGACACTGAAGAGCCCGTAGTGAGAGCACACAGTTCAACACGCCAGGCAGCCAGCCACACTTTCTCCGAAGGCTCCCGGGAGACCCTGTGCAGAGCCAAAGCTCTCAGCTGCTGATGCCCACACAGCTTCTGGCTTCCTGGGGCTAGTGGCAGCATCTCGCCAGTTTCCACCGGCATCCTATAGTGGCATCTTCCTTCTGGTCTTTGTTTTTTCTTCTCACAGGGATGAAGGTGTGGACACATACTCTGACATCCAGGCCACACCTCCCTTCATGGCCCAGCCTTTCAGGCCCTGTCTGCCCTCCTGCCTAGGACTCTCGCTGGCTCCTCACCATCATGTTGCTCAAACATGAGGGGATGCCAGGCCCTACAGCCTTGAAACCTGAAATTCAGTCTAGAAGGTCCTTCCTCAAGCATCCTCAGGGCCCACACATCTTGGATTTCACTGAGTGTCCACTTTACCTCTGGACCACTGCCATCTCCTATATCCATTCCACTCCTCTGACTCAGCATCTCTAGGACTCTCCCCCTCTGACTCAGCATCTTCAGGACTCTCCCCCTCTGACTCAGCATCTCCAGGACTCTCCTTCTCTGACTCAGCATCTCCAGGACTCTCCTCCTCTGACTCAGCATCTCCAGGACTCTCCTCCTCTGACTCAGCATCTCCAGGACTCTCCCTCCTCTGACTCAGCATCTCCAGGCCCCTCCCCCCTCTGACTCAGCATCTCTGGGACTCTCCCCCTCTGACTCAGCATCTCTAGGCCCCTCCCCCTCTGACTCAGCATCTCCAGGCCCCTCCCCCTCTGACTCAGCATCTCCAGGCCCCT